ATGTCACAAGCCATTGTTTGTGAAACCCCTATAGACAAATTCTTCTTGTCATTTTCCCCACCACCCTTGCTAAGAACCACATTGCCAATCTCATTTTTGTCATCTGCATGGTCAGTGGATGTGCAAACTTTTTCTTTTGCAATATGCTTGACCAGAAAACCAGGAGGCACAATGTCACAAGCCATTGTTTGCGAAACTCCAATAGACAAATTCTTGTCATTTTTCCAACGATACTGGGGAGAAAAACCAGGAGGGACTTCAGGGTAGTTCTCCACTTGTTTCTGTTGATATTCAGTAGGTAGACCAGGAAGAACATCAGAAACATCCCAATCAGTTTCTACTTTTACCTTCCTCAACTTGGGAGTAAAAACAGGAGAAGCATAAAGGTTAGAAAGCCGTTTTGATTTTCTTTTACTCCTTCGTCCCTGAGACAATCCTTTCAATGCATCAGCTAGAAATAATATTTCTTTTCTCCACCATTTCAAATACCGTGTAGTTACATCCGGTTCAAACAGCCTAGACGGATAATATAACCTCAAATCAGAATCAATAGGTATGCTGTAGTTGTACCAGGAAAGCTCTGGACTTGAAGGCGAGCGAGGTATCCATTTAGGAAAGTCTTGATCATATCCAAACTGCATTGATACACGATTTGGTCGATAAGGCTCTTGACAATCTAACCCAATAAGCTCACACACCCTTAAGCATCGAATGAAAGACTCCATTTCTTGATCCAATTTTTTCCCTTCAATCCACTCTTCTTTTTCCTTGTAAAACTTGGGAATTAACCAACCTTCCACAGCCAAGGTGTATGGCCTCCACTGAAACGTATCTCCAGACAAGTCAATAGTAGTCCTCACATTAATCACATCCACTTGTTTTGCATTGTGCCATCGTCCTATTCTCACCCCATTAACCATATTACAATTCTGAGGCTGCTCTGGCTGCAAAGTTACCAATCTCTCCCAAGCCCAAACTTGAACAAAGAACAATGGCGCCCAAAGACTAAATTCTAGAATGTTAAATGTATCTCCATCATCTCCATCACTACTTGGCTCATTTGATGAAACCATTATCATAGTCTGTTTCAACATGCCCAAGTCCCTATATATACTAGCAAGCACAACAGGAGCAAGCGCTAATCGCATACCTCTAGCAAGATTTACAGCTATAGGGAAAACATGTGTACCTATTTTATCATACTCATTACCTGGAAACACAAACCTTGATAACCATAGAGACAGAAAAGCTTCATGTTCAATATTCCTACCACTGTACATGAAAAAATTTAACCATCTAGTATGGTTATCAGCCTTCAATCCGATAAGCTCCCTTCGAGCTTCTTCAAGATTCTCTTCAATTTCTACCAACTCAGGGGATTGAAGGGGGGACAAAACAGGGCTACCCAAAACAGGGAACCCTCCCAAAACCATCATGTCCTCAAGACTCACCGTAGCTTCCCCCCAAGGAAACACAAATGTGTTGGTCTCACAGGACCATCTTTCAACCAACCCCAAAATCAAATCTTTATCTATATAAACTTTGTAAACCGAACCCATAATAGCTTCATAAATACCTGCAGCTTTCCACACAGAATGATGAACAGACTCCATAGCTTCAACCCATTTCTTCCATTTGTGCTGGTGATTCCTACAGCCATTAAAAGAAACTTTTAATGGCCATTCAGCTTCAGATGAAAAAGGGAGTGAAGGAAGCTTCAAGCTTGGACCTTCAATGGATGAAACAGTTGGTTCCAAGAAATGGGCTTTCCTCATTTGTGGGATTCCACCAAATGGTGAAACCATTAACTCTTCTCTTTCATCAATTTCATCAAAGATTGAATCTTTCATTCTTGAAAATGGAAAATTTCAGTAAGAGAGTGAGTTTTATTTTTTCCTTAAGGAACAAGAAGAGTCTTTGTACGGAAAAATGAAAGAAAAAAAAAAGACTTTCAGAGTGTTTGTTGTGTGAAATGAATTTTAGTAATCATTAATTGATAATTTCCAGGTAAGGGAAAATTAATTTTATTTTGACCAATAGTTTTTGGTATGTAGAAAAATATATATTTTCTAGAAAATATTTTTAACTTTATTATATTTAGTTGGTCAAATATATTTTCCTTCCTGCCAAACACACCTTAAAAGTTTGTATACAAAAAAGGAAATGTTACATAATGACAATAGTCACTTTTCCGAATGTAGGTAGTGAGTCATTAACTAAAGTAATATTGTAATTTTAAAAGTCAATAATAAAAGAAAATGAGTTTTAAGTGTTATACATTATTAGTGTAATTGATATTTCTTACTCAAGTGTTTGACCAGATTCTCTAAATTTAGTATAATAAATAATTTTTTAATTAGTATTTGACCATAGTTTGAAATTTTAGTGCAATAATATTTTTTAATTAATGTTTGACCATAGATTGTGAAAAAAATTCATAACTTTAAAGACTAATTTTTTTTAAATTTCAAAATTTAAAATATATGGTCAAACAATTTTTTTTAATATGTGATATTAAAATCTTGAAATGTAGGTAGTTAGTCATTAACTAAAGTAATATTGTAATTTTAAAAGTCAATAATAAAAGAAAATGAGTTTTAAGCGTTATACATTATTAGTGTAATTGATATTTCTTACTTAAGTGTTTGACTAGATTCTCTAAATTTAGAATAATAAATAATTTTTTAATTAGTATTTGACCATAGTTTGAAATTTTAGTGTAATTAATATTTTTTAATTAATATTTGACCATAGATTGTGAAAAAATTTCATAACTTTAAAAACTCAAATTTTCAAATTTCAAAATTTAAAATATATGGTCAAACAAAAATTTAATATGTTATATTAAAATCTTGAAAATAAAATATATTATCTCCTATAAAGCATCAAGTAAACATGATATTTGTGATGAAAATTATGACAAAATAAAATATGACATGGTGTAAAGTTCACATTGTACCATCAGGTACATATTGATATTTGGCATGTTCTAAAAACGTGTACATTATTTTATTAATACATATATAACCAATAAGCACATATAAAGCATGTTGGATATATAAAAAAATATTTAAAAAATAGCATGTTGGGTATATATTCACTCAATAATATTTCATTTATATATCACCATTTTAGATTTCACACTTCTTAAAAAATTACTCCCTTCGTTCACTTTTTATTGTCATGTTTTTCTTTTAGAGTCGATCGATAAAAAAATTGACTAACATTTTATGATGTATTTTTTCATCATATTGATATGCACAAAATTGTAATTTATAGTACTTTTCGTATAGTTTTTGCATATCTATTTTTTTTGTTTAAAATATCAAATTAATATAATCTAATTTAACTTTGAAAATTAGTCGAATTAACTCTCGAAAAGCGCAACATGACAATTAAAAGTGAACAGAGAAAATATGTAAGTTTATCATTGTACCCTTATTTAATAATCTCTTGAAGTCAAGTTTTCAATAAATGAACATAAATTAATTTATTTGATTAATTAAACAGACCTATGAACATGAATTAATCATTTAGTTTTCCTATGTTGGTTAAATTCATACTTTCAAGGCTAATAAATCTCAAGGGTAAAATAAGAAGAATAGTGTTATTTATGTATTGATTTTGTGAAATGACAAGTACTCCCTCTGTCCAACAATACTTGTTTACTATTGACTTTGCATACTATTTAAGAGACTATAAATAAAGGGGTAATTTATTATATCACCCTTTGAATACAATAAATACAATGTCTTGAAAATATAATAGAGAAATAACTATAATTAATGATGAAGATAAATTAGGAACTAGACATGATATATATATATATATATATATATAATGACTATACATAAAGTGATATATCGAACAAAATGACGTTACTTGACAAAAGATATATATCTCTTGGTGCGTTGGTTGAACGTCCAATTTTGTTCGTGACTCAAGGATTCGTCTTACTTATATATATGATGATCAAGTTTTTATCGTATCTGCTATAAATATCGACACAGTTTTACTAAAAATTCAATATATACCACTATAATCCTAGATATGTAAAAAAAAAAAACTTAAAAATTTCATGTATGAATTGACAATTGTTTAAAAAATTCGACTTAGTATTCCCTTTGTCTCAATTTTATGCAGCAATATTATTCGTATTAAAGATTCAAATATCTTAATTTTAACCGTATATTTGGTGCTATAGTCAAATTAATTAGTAATTTGAAATGTATATAAAAGACATGAAAACAAATACTGTGGAAGAAAAAATCATTTCAATTTCGAAACAAGAAAAATGTCACATGAATTGAGACGGGAAGACACATGATTTCTCAAAACAAAAAGAAAGATTTTGGCTGTGACAGTGTATTTTGTCCTGTCTTTTTATTGGTTATAAAATTTTGTCCATTCTTCAAAACCCTTACATAAAAGTTGTTAAAAACAAAAAAAGAATAGAAAAAGAAGCTAACAACAATGGTGGATTCATCAGAAGAATATGCACTAATGGAAGAAAGAAAAGAGCTCATGATTTCACCCATTTATGATGATGATGAAGAAGTAAAACCCATTTTAAGAGTTGCCCATTTTCTTAAACCAACCTTACCCTCTTCCCAAAACCCCCCATTTCTCCCTTCAAGACCCAAAATTCAAGAATTGATGACAACATCTTGTCTTTCTTCACTAAATGTTAAGTTTAGAGGTGGGGTTATGTATATGAATGGATGGTCTAAATGGGTTAATGAGTTAAAGCCTTTATATCAACAAACATGGAAAAAAGCTAGAATCTTTGAAGCTATTAGAGCTTCAACATTCAAGATTCATCTTCATAGTGATTTGATTCTTGCTCTTGGTGAAAAATGGTGTTTGGAGACTAACACATTCATTTTACCATGAAGCGAATCCAGTGGCGACCCAGGATTTTCACGAAGTGGATTCAAGATATAAAAAATAAATAAGCAAAAATGCAAACAAAACAATTTTTGATTAATTAAAATATATCATTACAATTCTATTCTACGAGTTTTCATTTCTTGAAACCTATTCATAATACTCTCATCAGAAATAGTATTAAATATTCTTTTCTCTACATAAGGCACCATACAACTACTCAGAAAATCATCATCCATTCGATTTCGCAATTCACTCTTGATCAACTTCATTGCCGGGAAAGCTCTTTCAACTGTAGCAGTAGCAACCGGCAGGAGCAACGCAAATTTTATAAGGCGAAACACAAGAGGATAATTTAAATGCTTCTTTACCTTAACTAGCATTTCAGAAAGATTGCCAAGCCCTTTTAAGTTGGAGAACCTTTTATCAACATCAACTATATAAGTCTCTAGCTGATTCCTAAGAGTAACCATTACATTTTCACCAAAATCATCAGGATATAATTCAACCATTCTCAATACGTTCTTGATGTCAAAACTAGAAAATGAGTCAACTGGATTTAAGCAAGCAACTCCAATAAGAAAATCTGTTCTAACCTCATTAAAACAATCATTGAGTTCTTGAAGCTGCCAATCAATAATCTTAAAAAATACTTCCACACGATAGTGATGTGAAATAGTATACTCAGCAACTTTACGTCGAGATCTTCCAAAATTAACATAGAACTCTTCAAAATTAGGTATCAAAATATCATACTTGACACAAAATGCAGACACATTCTCGACAAGTGAATCCCATCCTTCATTCCTTAAATCTTGCAATCGTTTCTTCACCACTTTAACAAGTAGAATGGCATTTGCAATATCTTGTTCTTTCTTTTGTAAAGACTCATTAAGCTCATTTGTGATCACTAAAATATCTCTCATTAAATGTAATAAGAAAGCAATCTCAAATGTTTGACAAACTTTAAGATATCTGGTTGCCTTAGCTTTTTCTTCAACAGATTCAGAATCAACAACAATAGTATCAAGAACATTAGTAATAGAGCCAAACATACTAATGAAGTTCTTAAAAGATTTGTAATGTGAACCCCACCGAGTATTGGCAGCTCTAGCAAGACCAAGTTCTTGATTCAATCCCTTACCACTTTCAACCTCACCCATATCAAGTGCCACTTGAACTTTTTTTGCTTGAGATTCTTGAAGTTCATCCATACGTTTAAAAGAACCTCCCACTACATTTAAGACATTAGAAACCAGCAATACAAGTTCTCCAACTTGAAGGCATTTTTTAGATACCCCAACAAGAGTTAACTGAAGTTGGTGAGCAAAACAATGAATTGCATGAGCTGATTTACTTTCTTGTTGAATCAAAACTTTAAGGCCACTTAAACTCCCTTGCATATTGCTAGCTCCATCATAGCATTTCCCTCGTATAAAAGATAAACTCAAAGAATGTTGCGCAAGATAGTTAATAATAGCTTCTTTCAAACATAAAACACTAGTATCATGAGCATGAATAATTCCTATGAACCGTTCCACCACAGACCCCTTTCTATCAACATAACGCAAAACAATTGCCATTTGCTCCTTACGTGATATATCACAAGATTCATCAACTAACAATGAAAAATAGTCACCGTTTAGATCCTCCATAATAGCTTTAATTGTTTCAAGCTTACATGCAATGACTATATCTTTTTGAATTTTATGAGAAGTCATTTGGTCATTTTTTGGAGCCTTTTTCAACACAAGTTCACCAATTTTATCACACCGCTTCGCATACCATGAAAGAATTTCAAGAAAGTTACCTTTGTTTAGCGATGATTCATCTTCACGATGTACACGAAATGCCAATCCTTGATTCAAGAGAAGTCTCGCCACTTCAATTGAAGCCTTTAAGCGAATTTTGTGCTCAAGCTTGGTTTGATTTGATAGCTTAACAAATGCGGCTTGAATTGATTGTTCTTGTCACATTAGATCTTCACACTTCTTCTTTGCCTGATTGTGAACACTGTTTGACTTACCAATATGCGTATCTAATCTTTTCTTTTTGTGCCAACTCCTGAACCTTATACTTGAAAATGTTTCACCTCCACCTTGATGAATGCTTTCATCTTGAAATAAATAACAACACAAACAATAAGCTGCATCTTCAGTCACACTATACTCCAACCAATCATGATATTTTTTAAACCATTTGCGATTAAAACTGTGTTTTAATCCAGAAATATCACTTTGAGAAAACTCGCGACTTCGAGGTTGATGAGGACCTCTTTGGATATATGCTCGTCTAATCTCATCACGTTCATCAGGATGATAGTCTCGAATGGGTATTCTTTTCTTTGGATCAGCCGGTAAAGAATCCAAATCTACCCCTTGTTTCAATCTTTTAGCGGAATGATGAGTTTCTTCTAATTGGTTCAAGTTTTCTTCCACCCGAGGAGCATTTTGAGCGGATGAACTTGATTGTGGCAACTTGGAGGATATAGGAGAGAAAAATCTCTTCATTTGATATTCAACCTGTATTACCAAATTAAAATTCTAATTAGAAAGTAACTAAACAAAGCGTTGTTAAATAAATGGAATTTCAATTAAATGATCTTGCAATTTGCATTGCTTAACTTTAATAAATTGCCATAGCATCTTATTAACTTGACATTACTATGTTGAAAGCATTCTTGTCAAGTTAGATCAATAAAACAAAAGACTACAATTTAGACAATGCACTTTTATGAGGCTAACAACATACATATCTGACTATACTAAACAATGTTAATACATTTGAAAAAAATTTACATTGACTTATGAATGAGACGGTAAATAACAAGATGCACGAAAAACTAGGCTTCAATATAAACTGAGAAGATAAAAGAATATTATGAATGATTTCTCTTCATTCAACATTTAACAAATAAAAACAAAATAATTATAACCTTTATTTCAGAATCGAATACATAGAAACATACCTAATATTATTTGTAATTTTTTGTTGATTTTAGAATGATAAGGGATTTTTTAGTTGAAGAAATAAAAAATAACCACAATAATCATATATGTATATATAAAGACTAGAATCAAGAGTGAAAAACATACTTGTGCGAGATTTGAGAGACGGGAAGAGTTTTTTTCCTTCAACAAAAAAATATGCTCAAAATTTTGGGGGGAAAAGTAAGAAAGGTTCAAGAAGATTTCAACAAAGAAGAAGATAAAAGGGTTTTTAGAATTGAGAATAATAGGGATTAGTGCCTTTTTAGTTGAGTTTTTTTTTTTTAAAAAAAAAAAAACTAAAAACAAAAAGGACAAAAGTTGTTGACTATTGGACTTTAAATGTAAAAGTAAAAAATTGTTCTACTTTTTATAGTTCCTAAGTAACTAAAAGGACAAAAGTTACACCTACATAGAGAACATACTGTGTGTGAATGAATGTTTTATATATATAAAAAATGTGTGAATGAATGTTTTATATATATAAAAAAACGAATTAAAACTAAAATGTGGCTATAGGGATTCAATCCCAGGTTGGCTGGGAAAATTGAACCCCCTCAGCCACTCGGCTAAGCTTCAGACTTGTGTTAGTGGGTTCAAAATTTAATATATACATATAAAATTTTAAAAACTGATTAAATATACATATATATACAATGTTATTTTCAACGAAGTGAGTTTATATGAACCCACTTGAACCACTGTAGGTCCGCCCCTGGGTGAATCAACTGTTACTTTGGAGGATTTGTTAGTTTTAGGTGGTTTCTCTGTTTTAGGTCATTCTGTGTTGAAACCTGTTAAGACTAAAGAGTGTGTTGAAATGGAAGAAAGACTTAGGGAAGTTTTTAAAGTTTTTGGAAAAAGTAAAGTGAATCTTTATCATCATGGCTGGATGGAGTATTTTGAAGGGAAAGGTGGTAAAGAAATGAGGCATATGAAGCTAAAGAAATGGTGACACTAGAGAGAAAGGAAAACAACGACAAATTAGGTGGCTGTAAGTTTAATTTTACTGATAGTTTAGAACTTCCAAGTGAGGGTCCAAATGCAAATAGGCGCGATGGTAGATATGCAGAATTTTCGAGAAGTGGTATTGCTAAAATGAATTTGCAGATAAGAAATGATTCAGTGGAAGCACATAAGGTAGGTACAAATGTTATCAATAGGACCGAAGGAAATATGCAGATTGAGAACATTGAAATGATCGATATTTTGAAACTTGAGATGAGGATTAGAAACCTTGAAAACATCATTTCTGGAAAGGTTCCAGTGCCCGGGACAAGGTGAAAACAAGACAAAGCTAAAAATGTAGTGTTGATGCTTCTCTAAGAAGTTTAGATCTTTCTCACTTTTCTGCTCTGCCTTTAAGGCTGTAACAGGCTCGACTAAAACAAATTTGCGTAGTGTAGGGTTCATTAAAATGGGAAGTGCTCTTTAAGAACCAGAGTTTCTCCTTTTCCAAAGCATGAAACTGAAACTTCTTGTTAAGGATGGTTCGTTAAGAAGTCATTGTCAACTTAATTAATATCTAAGATATTTCATAAAAAATCAATCCTTTTCATAGAGTTGTAGCAAATAACAAAGGATTGACAACTTCAAGTTATAAATTCATATAGTAATATTATTGTTAATATTTATATTAGTAAGCAAAATGAAACATCACAATGTCGTTTTTATTCAAAACCCGAATTCTGACATCCCATATATTTTTAGTAGAAAAGGTGTACCTACACCACAACAAAAGGGTGCTAATAAGATGTTAGTCATTTACTTGCAATACAATTTGTTGGATTATATTGTATAGAATTTAATTTACTATAATGAAAGTGTGAAAAACTTCATTCAAAATTCTAAAATATTATATCATCGAATATAAAGAGTAAGTAGTTTTTTCTATGATTCTTTTTTTTACCTAAACTATATATTATTAAAGTGAAAATAAAATCATAAAGTTCACAATTGATCGGGGCTTCAATTTTTTTTTTACCTTAATAGTTTTGAAGATGTAAGTGACGAAAATGAGAATATTGAGATGGATCTGTGGACACACTCGGAGTGATAGGATTGAGAATGAAGATATTCAGGACAAAGTAGGAGTAACCTCCATGGTGGACAGAATTAGGGAAAGGAGATTGAGGTGGTTTGGCCATGTGAAGAGGCGATGTGTGATGCCCCAGTAAGGAGGTGTGAGAGGTTGGTTATAATGGGGTCGAGGAGAGGCAGAGACAGGATGAACAAGTATTGAGAGTTTTGATTAAATATAATTACACACAATTGGTTATTCACAACTTGAATTTCATTATTTCAAAGTAAGGACTGCTTCGGTTTACAGTTCTTACTTATAATTTTTCTTGCACTCGTAATCTAGCAACTCTCTTTGTTGCTATCTCTTATTTCTCACTTGATCAATCCTTTATTATTTGCTACAACTCTATGAAAAGGATTGATTCTTTATGAAATATCTTAGATATTAATTAAGTTGACAATGATTTCTTAACGATCCTACCATCCTTAACAAGAAGTTTCAGCTTCATGCTCTGGAAATGGAGAAACTCTTGTTCTTAAAGAGCACTTCCCATTTTAATGAACCCTACACTACACAAATTTGCTTTAGTCGAGCCTGTTCCCGCCTTGAAGGCAGAGCAGAAAAGTGAGAAAGATCTAAATGAACTAAATTAGCGATATGAAGCATAATACAATTGTAAAGCTGAGATAATTGTAATTCATTCCACTAGTTCAATAAAATTGGTCTTAGCAAGAGAACAATGAGACAGTAACACCATCGATATGTCTTCGATAACTAATCAATAGAGAAAACTAACAACTTCTTAGAGAAGCATCAACACTATATTTTTAGCTTTGTCTTGTTTTCACCTTGTCCCGGGCACTGGAACCTTTCCAGAAATGATGTTTTCAAGGTTTCTAATCCTCATCTCAAGTTTCGGAATATCGATCATTTCAATGTTCTCAATCTGCATATTTCCTTCAGTCCTATTGATAACATTTGTACCTACCTTAAGTGCTTCCGCTGAATCATTTCTTATCTGCAAACTCATTTTAGCAATACCACTTCTCGAAAATTCTATATATCTACCATCGCGCCTCTCTGCATTTGGACCCTCACTTGGAAGTTCTAAACTATCAGTCAAATTAAACTTACAGCCACCTAATTTGTCGTTGTTTTCCTTTCTCTCTAGTGTCACCATTTCTTCAACTTCATATGCCTAATCTCCTTCTAATTCCTCTGATTTTAACTGTTTTGATTCTATTAAGGCCTTCCTCTGGGTGGAAGTTCGAGTTCCATCATTCAAAGCTGAAGAAGATTGCTCGTGAGGTCCTTCTGTTCTAACCTCGTCGCATTTCTGCACAATTCACAACATACAGAGGCATTCAACTTTTCATTGTGTCCCCACGATAGTCTTGGTATCCAGAGGTTGGCTCGAAGGAAACCGTGTTTCCCGTATGGTACTTTTCATCAATTGCTTATTCAAAAGTTACTGTTAGCGTCAATATGTAAATGTGTTCCTTCTATATAATAAGCACACCGCTTAGTTGAAAAGAGTACTCTGTGTGTAGGCATATTTTCTTTACGCGCAATGAATGCGTTGAGGGTAGAATGAGTCTCGTTTTCTATAACATCATAATTCATGGAGTTTACCTGCTAGATATTAAATTTGCTATTATATATGCATAACATCGCGGAGAGTTGTGCAACACAAAGTAATTACTTGGCAAATCACCCATAATTATATTCTACTCGAAACAACTAATTATTGAAACTTCTGCAGACTACCTTGGATTCTAAACCGAAGAAATGTTGAGCATTACATTCACTGCTCTGTTTTCATTTTTGTATTGAGTTTCTAACGAGGAATTTGAATTCTAAACGACTAAAGTTTCAAGATAGCTTCTTCAATATATGACAAGCAAATTGAATTCAAAAACTTGCTTACAATAGAACTAGAAAACCTTCCGAATATCCGCCCGTTATTTATCAAAATCCAAGTCGTAATCAAGTTTGTAGTTCAGCCATTGATTGTCCAGTCATATGCAAAAAATCAACTCGACAAATCTTGTTGTAGAGAAGAAATTAACATTGTAGTTCTTCCATCTTTTTATTCCTGAAATTAACTAGAGAAATGGAGAAAAAAAGAAGAGTTGAAGGAGGTAGGAAGAAAGAAGAGAACTAGAACTAATGGGAACAAAAGACCCAAATACGATTGGCCTATCGGGTCAGGTTTTTTGAATGGGTTTCTAGACTAAGTGGGTCATTTATTTTGAAATAGGTAAAGAAAAACCATGTCACATTTGCCATGTCAGCGGGCAGTTAAAAAAGGGCAATTTTAAACCTTTAAAAAACGTTGAGGGCATTTTTAAACCAAAAGGTGGAAGGAGGGCATATTTGAACCATATGAGATACATTTAGGGAATTTTAACCCTTTCCCCTTATAGTAATTCAACATTCAAGTTTGGGAGTTCATGATTTTAAGGTAGTATATATATATATATATATATATATATATGTA